CTCTCTCTCTCTCTCTCTCTCTCTCTCTCGACTATCGCCAATGTTAGTTGTGATGATTGTGGGCTCAGGTGATGGTGGGGTTAGAAATTTTACATTTATGTATTCACGCATCGGTTAATTAAACGATTTATACAGAGAATAATTGCATAAAAATAAATCATGAATTTAATGATAAATACAGTAGTGTTTGACAGAAGTGTCGGAAAATGATTGAAACAAATTTAGTGCTCAATTAGTGTATGAAATACTCTGGAAATGAGAGAATAGATGTCTCAAAGTGTGTAATACTCGGCGCCGACTGATTGGCCATCAATACGCTGTCCACTCGCAGCCGATGCCCAACCCGTTTACGTGCGATGAATGCGACCAACAATTTGTCGCCCATAAGATCCGCCATCAGATGTCTGTCCACTCCATGGCCTTTACGTCAGAGAAGTGCGAGAAAGGGTTCATCACTTCAATCGCTTTAACTCAATATAAAAGCATTGATTTTAAATCAATTTATTAAAAATTATTGTTTGGTTTATTTTTATGAATTATCTATTTTTATTTAAATGAAGTTTGTATTAATTTTGTCATACAACTATTATTTTACAGAATTTAAGTGAATTTAATAAAAATTTAATAGTTTTTATATTTAACTAATAATTATTTTAAATCATTATTTTACAAATTATTTTATATGCCGCACAAAATAAATATAGTTGTGATACAATAATTGGCCACAAAATTAAATTGTAATTACTTTTCGATGTGTTTGTGATTTAAATGTGATTTCAATTCCTAACAAACCGTTGATTACAGTTATTATGAATACTTTTATGACTTTTTATATTCAAATGTCTTTCATATTTTGTAATAATGTTAAAATCTTTGTTACAATTAGTAAAATCACAAACAAATGATTTTTCTCCCGAATGTATGCGTTTGTGTTGAATTAAATAATGTTTAGACGAATATTTTTTGCCACAATTTTCTTCATTACATTTAAATTTTCTTTTATTCAAATGAACACAACTTTTGTGTAGAAATAAATTTCGTTTTGTTGTAAACCGTTTGTGGCATTCATTGAAATCACAAATAAATCTCACATTTAAATGATCTCTATTTTTATGTTCATCTAGATTTAATTTTCTTTTATAACTTTTATTGCAATTATTAAAATCACATTTAAATTGTTTAATTTCTGAATGAATTAATTTATGTTCACTTAATTTGCTTTTAGATTTTGATATGAATTGACATTTAGGCCAAAAACAATGCATTTCTTTAACACGATTCAAATGAACTCTATTTTTGTGTTTAATTAAATCTGATCTTTGTTTAAAACTTTTGTAGCAATTATTAAAATCACAGTTAAATCGTTTCCCTGAATGAATCAATTGATGTTTTGTTAAATAACTTTGTTTATTTGTCTTGTATTGACATTTAGGCCAAAAACAGTGAAAATAATCATCAGATTTAGTAATGATATGACAATTGTTTAGCATTTTATCACTGATTTTACATGAATTGCAATCAATTGTTTGATTGATTGAAANGATTCATTCAGGGAAACGATTTAACTGTGATTTTAATAATTGCTACAAAAGTTTTAAACAAAGATCAGATTTAATTAAACACAAACTCTTCATTGCATTGAATTTACTCTTCATTTCAATCAACGATTCACTCATTTTTAAAATGTTTCACAAGTACTACTGTATAATAATAATAGAAATTTCACCAAACGTTTCTATAAATATAAATTGCACATGACTTAAATGAGTTGTTTTATCACAAAACATGTTGACGTATATATTTATTAAATTGTATTTACAATTAAAACCTGTATTCCAAACGTTTTTATAGTAATTAACCTTATATTAAATGTTCCAACATACAAGCATGTGCCAGTATCTTAATTAATGATGCAAAACTAACTATATAAATGATGTTTATTAATTGTTATAAAATAAAAATTGTTATTTTCACATATGTTAACTGTAAATAAATTTATATTATGTAATAAATATATTTTTAATCACAATTCAGAATGAAGAATGTGGTTTATAGGATGTCGACGCTACCCCTCCCCTCCCCCACCCTATGGAAAATAACATGGGATCCCATGTTAATTCTATGGCTATACTTTAACATGGGGAAGCTCTCATAGGTTTAACATGGGCCGCTTTAGCATGGGTTTCTATGGGATTACAGC